GGTAAGGTGTCAGATGGGGGGGTCTAACAGCACTCTCTTAATTCAGGGTCCGTATTGCCATGAAATGAAGCACTCACAAGTCGCTGAACAGTAAATAAATGGAAGTTTACTTTGCCATGACCCAGCAAGGATATCAACTCTTAACCCAAGCTCCATAGTGCAAAAGTATAAGTCTGAAGCACTAAAGAGGACCCCATGGAAATGGAAGTTTTCTTTATTATTTATGAACTCAAGAATGAAGTCTTTCTACTTTTTGGTTCTATAAAGAAAATCTTTTATACGTTTTCTGTTTTGTTAGCATGAATGCTTGTAGGAAATAAATCTAAGGACCTTTTCTGGAAAGCAAACCAGGCCAGATACATAAGTTTCCCGGCTTTCCTCAGACTGGGACATAAGCTGGGAAGATTTTCAAAAAAAGTCAGATACTGAAGTTTCTAGAGTTTCCCTGGATGAGAGGTCCAAATACAATTTCAATGGAAAAGGGTACTCAGCAGCTTACAGTCTGGGAGTGTTGCCCAAGATACTAAGAGGTCATGGGGTCACAGCCACGACAGAAGGACATAGATTCAGAGGGAGATAGAAGTATGTGCGTTGGGTTGGGCAGGTGGTGAACAAAAGGGCACAGAGAAGAAAAAGATGTTCAACTATACAAGATACAGCATCTTCCTCCAGGCCACACTGCCTCTTTGGTGAATGATTGTGTCTAGAACGGAAGAGCCTCAGAAGACAACCCTTAAAAAGAGAGAAATGAGGAAAAGTGTGGGTGATATCCAAAACTGAATGGGAGGATAGAGAAGAGAGCAAGGCTTTCATCTTGTAGAAGCCAGACCTGGTATGAAGACAAAGAAAGAACCTATAAGAACAAAGCCCCTGAATGAGAAATAATATTCTTAAATAGACAAGAAAGGAAAAGAAATAAAGGGGATGAATGAACACTTCTGAGAAAAGGAATATTACTAAAACTAAGAAAGTGGGAATACTTGGAGCAAAGTAGGCCTGTTTTGATTTGTTTTGTTTGTTTTTTAACCTTATCTGGACTGGGGAGGGGAAAGGTTAAAAAAAAAAAGCCAAAGTCTGAAATTAAACTCAAGGATTTTGGGCCAGGGCAGGTTAATAAGGTCATGGGGAGGGGAAAGAGGAAGGAGGATAGAAAAACTGGCAAATCCATGACTTAAGGGGGGTGGGAGTTGGGGATTGATATAAAGGAATGAAGACAAAAAATACAAATTTAACAGCTTTTACCATCCTATATATGAATGCATTAAATTCCCCACTAAGATGAAAGGGAATGGCAGGATGAATAAGAAAACAAAGTCTAACAATTTATTGTATCAAAAACACATTTAAAGCACAAGATACAAAGAAATTAAAAATGAGAAGCCGGAATAAAAGTTATGCTTCAGGCAATTCCCAAAAGCATTAGTTGCAATCAAGATTTTAGAAAAGGAAACAATAAAAATTGACAAAGTCAAGAGAAACAAACTAGGAAACTTCATTATGCTTATAGGCATTATAGCCAATGAAACAATATCATTCTTTTAAATATGCATCAAATGATATGGATCTAAGTTAATAAAAAAAAAACTTAAGAAACTACAACATTGATAATAACATGATAAATATAGGAAACTCTAACAGTCCTCTTTCACAGACAAATACATTTAACTGAAAGATTAAAAAGGAAAACAGCTAAACAGAATGTTGGGAAAACTGTATATTGGAAATTAAATTTCTATGACAAGTTCTGACTGAGAATATTAGAGAATTCTGACTGTGAATATACTATAAGCATAGTCTCAACATCATACAGTACCTTAAGAATTCATCATGTTCTAGGACACAAAGAAATAAATTTAAAAAGGCAAATGCCCTTTACAAATCACAAAGCAATAAAAAATAACTGATAATTAAAATACAGACTTATAAGGAAACTAAGTAATGATATCCAGGATAATAAATGTCAAAGGACAAACAACAGAAATAATAGATAAAGAAAATAATGAGTCAACATATCAAAACTGATAGGATGCAGCTAAACTAGTCCTCAGAGGAAAAATTCTATCTTTGAAAACATATTTGAAAACAAACTAAAACAGGTCATGAGCTTAGCAATTTTTAAAAAATACAAAATCTAACAATCCCAAAACAAACACAAAAGAATAAACATTTAAATTATAGAATAGATAAACTGATTAATGGGCAAAACAAAGAGTTTTTAAAAAGAATAATAAAATCAACAAGCCATTAGCTAACTTGACTTTTTTTAAAGGAGAAAGGAAAATCACATTATGAAGATCAAAAAGTCACAATGAATAGAGAAAATAATGAGAATTATCAAGACTTATACAAAATGTTAGCAAAAATAAATATTTAAAGGAAATAGATAATTATACAATTTGACAAAACAATAAATAGCCATCTTAACTAAATCAAAGAAAAAAAATCTTGGTCTATATGGATTTACAAGTGAATTCTATTATACACATATATAATATATATTATATAATATTATATTTGAGATCACCTCCCACTACAGGGGAAGGAGCTTCCTATCCAGAGGACAAGGGGACAGAAGGACATATTCTATCTACCTCTGTATTCCCTTTGTATCCCCAAATAATAATATAAATACATATAATAAATAGAATAATTAATACCTATGCTACAAAAATTCTTCTCAACAAAGGTTTTCTAAAGTCCTGATTTGTTGTTGTAGTTCAATTACATCCGACTCTCCCTGACATATTTGGGGTTTTCTTGGCAAAGACACTGGAGTGGTTTGCTATTTCCTTTTACAGCTCATTTGACAGATGAGGAAACTGATGCAAACAGAGTTAAATGACCTGCCCAGGGTCACACAGCTAGTAAGCTGCTGAAGCTAGATTTGAACTTGTCTTCCTGATTCCAGGCCCAACTCTCTATCCATTGAGCCACTTAGCTCCCTCCATCCATGTAGGGACATTATCTGATGATATACAATTAGGCACAGTAATTATAAGAAGAGGTAAGGAAAGAAAGAAAATGAGATATTTTGGGTAGATAATGAGAAGTTGGGACCCATTGGTAAAGGCCATGATATTGGAAAAGACTGAATACAAGAGATGGATAGTGTCATGGAAACAACATGATCTTGGACAGACTATAGTGGAGAATAAAAGGACCTGGCAAGTGTGCTATGCTCCATGGGGTCATGGAGACCCAGCAACAACACAACATAGTTTTTTTCATCTTGTCTCCTCCCACTGGATAGTGAGCCCCTGATGAGTAGGAACTATCTTTTACCTTTCTTTGTATCCTCAGTGCTCTACACACTGTAGGTCCTTAATAATGCTTTACTGACTGATATACCCTTCCTCTTTTGAAAAGGAGGATCTGTGGATATAGTATCCTACATGTAATTGTCCAATTTATGTTTAATTGGTTTTGCTGGACTTTTTTCTCTTTCAACTTTTTAAAAATTATTTTTATGAGGGATACTTAACCGAGGGAAGGAGGGGATGCAGGGGGAAATGTCAGCAAGAAAAGACATCAGGAAAATATATTTTAAAAAGAAAACACCAGAGAATCAGCAAAGAAACTAATCAAGGTGACTAATAATTGCAATAAAACAGCAAAAGGCAAAATAAATCCTCAAAATTATTAGCTTTCCTATACGATACTGACAAAAAAATAGAAAAAGAAATTCCATTTAAAATAACTACAAAATGCATAAAGTAGACAGCTGAGAATCAATCTACAAACTTAAACTAACATGTTCATGGCTTATATAAATGCAACTACAAAACAGTTTTCATAGAAATAAATGATTTAAGTGCAAAGATTCAATATTAATGGTTGGTCCATGCTAAGATAATAAAAATGACAATGCCTAAATTAATTTATAGATTTGCTGCTATACCACTCAAACTACTCAGAAGTTGCTTTAAAGAACTAGACAGAACAATAATAAAATTCATTTAGAAGAACAAAAAGTAAAAAATTTCAAAGGAAATAATGGGGAAAAAATAGGAATAAGGGGAGACTAGCAAGTATTACCACACCTCAAACCACAATATAAAGCAATAGCTATTAAAATAATTTGGTATTTATTATTTTTCAGAAGTGAACACGGGATCATTGAACTAGAAAGGACATTAGAGGTCATCTAGTCCAACTGCCTAATTTTGGGTAAAAACTGAGGTTAAGTGACTCGATCTAGGTCATTGAGGTAGTAAGCATCAGAGGCAGGATTTGAACTCAGATACCCGGGTTCATGGACTAGATTAGATGTCTATTGAACTACTTAAGTCCAGATCTGATGCTGGATCGTTGCATGGAGATGGGTTTTCAAAAGCTATCCCAGCCTCGTGAAATCCAGAAAGGCCTCGGTCGAAGACATCTGGCCCCCAAGTATTAATTTCCTTTCAGTTGAGGCAATCTTCTTCCCAGGAGTGCAGGGGCTCTCGCCTAAGGTTTTAAAGCCTGGACCCACTCTCTGGATCATGAGCCCACTGAGGGACCCCGCGAGTCCTTCCACGTCTCCAGTCTCCGAATCCTCATCCGCATCCCCATCCACGACTAATCCAGACCCCGGACTTTGAAAGCCGCCTTGGCAGTGGGTAAGCTGAGGCCCAAGAGGGGAGAGGCCGGATCACGTGGCGGGTGGGCTCCAGACAGCGGGGGTGGGGGGTAGCCTGGGGACCTGTTTGCTGTCGGAAAAATCCCGTAAAATGAGCCAGAAAACAAAGACACCTCGGAATTTCTGTGGTAACCGATTACATAACCGGGCCCGACGTGCGGACAGCCAGGTTCCGACCCTCCTAATTCATGCCCCGCGACCGAGGCGGGGCTCAGAAGCGAGAGACCAATCTTCGCTCCTCCGAGCGCCTGGAGCCGCCTCCGACGTGCCCTGCGTGTCTGGCCTTCGCCGCGGGAACCCCGCCCCCTCGCGGCTCTCCTCCCCTTCCGCTCCCTCCCGCCACACGCTGACGCATTGGTGACGCTTGATATAACTGTGATCCGCAGACGCCGCTCCCACTCCTCACTTCCGCTTCCTCGGAGCGCGCGTCTCTGTGCTTCCCGGACTTTCCGACCGCAGCGGCAGCTGGTGAAGATGTTAGGCCCTTTTAAGAAGAACGCCGTCATCGGCCTCAACCTCTACTGTGGAGGGGCTAGCGCTCCTTCATCCGGCTCGCCCCTGCTGGTTCCTGGCAAAGGAACGACCGTGGAGAGTTCGGCGCCGCGGCGCGACGGCGGGGAAGTGGAAGCGGGGACGACGACGACGTCTGCGGCGGCGGCGGCGGCCGGGGAGTTAATTAGCGGAAGCGGTGGCGCGAGTCTCCCGGACCTGGTGCCGGGCGTCCGGGGGCCCCCGCGGACCGCGCTCATTGGCGCGGAGGTTCCCGACGTCACCGCCACCACACCGGGACCGTTGTTCTTCTCGCGGAGCTGCCGCTTCTCCTTGCCCGCCGCCGGGGCCGCGGACGCCGTCACGTCCCCCGAGGACGAGCTGGACGGCTACGAGCCCGAGCCCCCCGGGAAGCGGCCCGCCCGCCGGTCGCTGCTGGCCCTGCCCTTGGCCCGAGAGGGCGGGGACACCTCGAGCAGCGCCCACGGCTCGCTGCCCTCGACGCCGCCCTCCGTCGAGGAGGAGGAAGACGAGCTGTACGAGCAGTCCCTGGAGCTGATCACCTGGTACCTGCGCGAGCAGGCGGCCGGCACCAAGGACGCCAAGCCCCTGCGTAGCGGGAAGGCTCTGGAGACCCTGCGGCGCGTGGCGGACGGCGTCCAGCGCAACCACGAGACGGCTTTCCAAGGTGGGTGGCCTCGCTCGCTCCCACCCCCCGCCGGGGCCGAGGCCCACCTTTGTGCATGCGCAGCCGCTCTGTGCTCGCCGACATGGCGACTCTGCCGAGGAGTGCCCCGAACGGGTGGGAAGCCCATCGTGGGGGGAAGGATGGAGGGGTAGGCCTCGTATTGGGCCCAGACGGATTCTGGCCGAAGAAGGTCCCTGGGAAGTGGAGGGAGGCTGTCAATCAATAAGCATTTATTAAGCGCCTACTATGTGCCAGGCACTGTGCCAAGCCCTGGGGAGACAAAAAGAAGCCAAAGACAGCCCTTCCCCTCGAGGAGCTTAGAGAAAGATAAAAGTCCATCAATCAGTAAACATTCAGGAAGCACCTACTCTGTGCCAGGCACTGTGCTAAGTGCAGGGGATACAAAAGAAGACAGTGAGTGCTGTTAGAGGCAGAAGTGATGCAAGTCGGTGACCCTCCCTTTTTCTTTTAGGCATGCTTCGGAAGCTGGACATCAAGAATGAAGAGGATATTAAAGCTGTGTCTCGAGTGGTAACTTGTGTGTTCAGTGATGGAGTAACGAATTGGGGCCGGATTGTGACTCTCATTTCTTTTGGTGCCTTTGTGGCAAAGCACTTAAAGAGCATAAACCAGGAAAGTTGCATAGACCCACTAGCAGAAAGCCTAACAGATGTACTGGTCAAGACAAAAAGGGACTGGCTGATCAAGCAAAAGGGCTGGGTAAGTCTGAAGCCAAGGGTCACTGCAGAATTGGAGGAAAGGGAAGGGGAGGTGGGGATGGTAACTGCCCCCTTGCAGTCTCAGGCACTCTCCTAGGTGTAGAATGTTGATTTCTTAGATAGGAGCCTAACTGATGAGGCTCTTTCACTGTCATGTTCATCCTCTTGGCGAATCATGGTCTGAGCCAGTGAGAGTCCACTTCAAAATTTGTTTTTTGTTTTCCCTTTCTCTTTTCTAGGAGGGGTTTGTGGAATTCTTTCATGTAGAGGACCTAGAAGGTGGCATCAGAAATGTGCTGCTCGCCTTTGCCGGTGTTGCTGGAGTAGGAGCTGGTTTGGCATATCTAATAAGATAGCCTTGTAAGTGCAATAAATGACTTGTAACCAACTCCAGGCACCAAAACTGCACACTTCTGCTGTGAAATTAGAAGTATTTATGAAGCTGGACATCAAGCTACCCAGGCTAGAACATCCACGAATCCTTCTAGAGCACTGAGTACTAGCAGGAAAAGGAAGTGGTATTCTACCTCTTGGTAGAGGCAGAAGGGGACTTGGATAAGAATAAATACTAGTGGAAAATGCACCCTGCTTCCCAGAAGAACAGCCATCTGAAAGAAGCAAAATTGTCTGTCTCAGCAACAGGCAGATCTTGGGGGAAGACCAGGAAGAGATTTAGTGATAGGGTTGAGAGAACTTTCTTCTTTAACAAATAACAGTGATCCTTAGGCTTCCTAGTCATAGAACTGTTTGAGAAATCTCCCTTGAATTCAGTAGTTTTACAGGATTTAAAAAGCACTAACAATGCCATGGCCCTAAGTTCTCCCTTCCATGACTATGACCGGAATCTTCTTTTAAAGTATCACAGTGAAAGTGGTGTGGCTCGAGGTGGGAGGCAAATTCCAAGTGTACCCAGGTATACCTACCTGTTCTCTCAATCTCTCTTTTTTTTCTTTTTTTTGTTTTTGTTTTTTTGGCTTGGTGTTGAGTGAGTTTATTACTCTGGTGATACTTATGGATGAGTTACAATATATTAATTAACTGTTGTATAGACAAACTTTTTAGAACCTTCCCCCCCCAAAAAAAAAGAACAAAAAAAACCTTGTAAATGTGTTTATATCTGTAAAAATTTGTATATATTTTTACAGAAATTTATTTCCTTGAAATGATGTAAGGAGAGATTCTGTGTTTAGGGTTCTTTCTCATACCTTCTAAAATTTGTAATTTGTTTAGCCAGGTGATTTAGAACCCTACCTTGTCTTCTGTGTAACATTTCTGATCTTAACTAGTCAAATATTTTTGGTATTCAAAACCAACTTGTGATGTATTCAAAGGCTACACAGTTATGAATCAGTTTTTAAAACTACCTTTGTGTTATTTTCCTTGTGGATAGGGCTTATTCTTTAAATGGACCTGGGATGGGGGAGAAAAAGTGTAGTACATGAAAAGATTGAATCGTGCCGCTTAATAATTGAGCCAAAGTAATTTTTAGAACTTGCATTGTGGTTTGTTGTTTTGTTTTGTTTTTTAAACAAATAATGGCTTTCGTGATAATGCCATCGTGCACATACATTCAGTTTGAGTTCTCCATTTTTGAGTCGCTGCCATCTGACTCTTCATGTTACTAATACAGTTTAGTTTATGGGCATAGTTTTATTTTCCAAAACTTCCTCGCACTTTTCACTTAAATTTCTGTAGCAGATTTTGTATAGGACGTCATCCACATGAAGCAAACCTGACCTTGTTTGCTCTAATAAACTGCAAGTAAATGTAAAGAAAGATGAATCTAACCATGGTGCTATTATTAGGCTTGCTTGTCAAATACAGGCTAAGGCCTAGACTGTCAATAAAACAAATGTTTATATATTGTTAAGAATTTACTATGGCAATGATTCCCAGACTCTTGGACAAAGACACTCAGCTTTGGCCTCTGTCTGAATAGCAGACTTGCTTTCCATTTTTCTCCCAAATTACCCTTTCTTTTCAAACATTTGTTTCCTCTAGCTCCAGCCCTTCTATAATTAACTATGGGACCAATCCCTGTTACTCTTCCTTCTCTTTTCAGGATGTGGCCCTGTAGACTCATGTGACCTCAGATGGTCCCTGAAGCCCCCTCTCAAGTTGTGAACCTTCTTGTCTCCCAGTATTCAGTTGGATAGAGACAATGGACTTGGTGCCTATGTCTGTAGGGATGGGAAAGTCTTGGGCTAGTGCCCTTTTGCTAAAACTGTGTTTTGATTGATTTTTTTTTCTTTCAAAGTCCCTTTGCTGTTTGGGCTTTTCAGAGAAGGGGGAGAAGGTCTTGCTGTGTGGTTTCTTCTACAGGTGGCCTTTTGGGTGGGGGAGGGTGTGTCTCCAAAGTCCTTTAGATGGAGAATGGCTGAATCACTTTGTCACCTTTCTGGATTGTTTTTCACTGGGGGCACTGAAACCTTTTAAAGCGGTGAGTTGGGTTTGTATAGAAGTGTTAAACCTCACCGAGCTGCATAACAGTTACTGGCACATTTAAAAATAACTTGGTTGTGGAGTTGGCTTAATCTGAAAAATTGCCACATTGTTGCCATTGAATTAGACCTTTAGCCTGTGGACTTTGTGTAGCTAAAATCAGCATAAATCAAGTTTGACTAAGAATGTAAGGGAAGAATGGCCTGCCTGCTCATCTCTAAGCCATGAGGCCTAATGCTGGAGCTGTTTGCCTCCTAGTTGTGTTTCTCGTTCTTAATCATAATCCCACTTATTTATGTCATGCATATCAGAGGAACTAAAAGCACTTTATATAGTTTTTACAGCTTCAAAATCGTTATAAAAGGGGCAGGTTTGGAAATTCTACTTCCCCATTTTACAGCTGGGGAAATTAAGGCACAAAAAGGGTGACTCACCCAATAAACCAATAGTGGAGCTCGTCATAAAGATCTTGATTCCCAGATCATTATGAAGGGATTCTATTGGTAGAGTAAAACCTCACATCAGAGAATTGTCTGGTGTGGGGGGTGGGAAGAGTTAGGGTTTGGGGGGAGAGGGGGGGGGTGCTCCTGAGGAAGTGTAGGGAGAAGAAAAGAACCTCATTGCATTGCATTGCATTGCATTAAAGGACTGGCCACTCTTACATAATTGAGGCCAGTCCTGAGACGAAAAGGGAAGGGGGTGGTTGTGTAAAGGATGTTCGGAGGAACCCTATGTATCGTTTTCTTCTGCTTCACTCAGGGAAAGCTGTTGAAATCCCTGGTCTAGGCTTCCCTGCAAATCCTGTATCTGGGGAGTGTACACCTGCCTGATGTTCCTCTTGAAGAGGTGAGCCAGGGAGGGTTAGGACCAACGGCAAAATACATGGGTTATAAAATCTAGTTTGTTTTCTTAACTTCCTGTTTTTTCTGAGAAAAGAGTAATAAATCTTTTATTTAAATTCAAGGTGTGTGGGTCATTTCTGAGGTTCGACTTTGTACCCTGCCCCCTTTGCCTCCCTTCCCCTTAGAGAGGTCAGACAGCTGAGCAGATGAAAAGATTTTCATAGATCTCTCTTGTTCCCTCACACACACACCTGCTCATAATTTTTGTTTTCAGGTAATTACATTGTTAACCCAAGCCCTTACAATGTAGGAGTCTTTCAGGATACTTTTATATGTAGAAATACCCTTTGTTTCAGAGAACTGGATGTGGAGTCAGTCCCTAATCTCAAAGCCACGGCATGCTTCTTTTTACCCTTGTGACCTTGAGCAAAGTCCTTGGGCCCTGTTTTCACCATCTGTAAAATGAGAGACCTTTGGTTCCTTCTTGCACTTAAGTCTATAATCATATGATTGGTGTAAAATACAAGAATAACTAACACCGATATGGTTTAAGGTTTGCAATACTTAAACATTGTTATCGTTTGAGGAAAAAAGCAGAAGAGTATTGACTTGCCCAGTATCTGAGGCAGGGATTTTCATTGAGGTCTTTTTGACTCCAGGCCAGGGCTCCCTCTTACAAAGCTACCTAGCAGCTCTTGAAAGAGTAATAATGTTTCTCCTCTTTGCCAGTTGTATGGCGTTTGAGGTCGAGGAGGTAGAATTACTGAAGTTATGATTAGTGGCTAGGTTGTGATGAGATTGTAATGCTTTTCCCCCATTCTGCAAAGGGGGAGTAAAACTATTTGAGGTCCCTTCATTTTGCTTTTTAATTTTCTGCTACCTCAGTGCAATGACTGAATCACCATGGAAATGTGCAAATGCAGGTTTTGCATATTGGTTTTAAGCCCTGGGCATCAAAAAGTAATCATGCAAAAAAGGCTAGTCCAACTTCCCCCACCCAGGCAATTTTGTGTCAGAAATCAGATGAATGTTTTCCCTTCTGAAGCCCCTTCATTTCTCAGATCCCTGGCAGATGATCACAAAATACAGTTTTTACTGTTACCTCCTTGCAAAGAGCTGTTTTTGTTAAGCTCCAAAGGAAGGAAGGGGTGGAGGTGGAGAGGACAACACCTATGCCTTGGTCTAATTTGGGACCTGAACTATGCAATCTGACGCTGCAGTTGTTGCTCTGACAACGGGTCTTAACAGTCAACACCTAACAAATTCACAGAATTGAGCAAAAGCCTGATAAACTCAGTTACCCAAATCCTAGGAGCTTTTGTGGAGGAGATAACAATCACCACTACTCAAAAGCTTGCCTTCATCAGCCATTACCAGGCTTCACTCCCCCCACGTCCCCTTTTAGTTCCTTACGGCATTTCTTCTTTCAAAAATTTGACCATCAGGTAGGCCCCTCCCTATTCCCCTCATCAACTTTCTTTGGAGTATGATAAGTGGAAATAACAAGAATAAAAATTTCAAAAACTGTTAGAAGCAATGGCTCTCTGGGAGGAGAGAGGCAGGGGTTCAGGAGGAGATCAGGCAATGTAAGTACAAAGAAAAGATTTAATTTTTTTTTAAACTGCCCAAGTCATACGTGTGTGTGTCTGTGTGTGTATATTCATAAATTTTCCTCTGAATCCCCCTGCCTCTTTCTCCTCCCAGAGAGCCACTGCTTCATTACAAAGTTTTTAACTGTATTAAATTTTTTTATTCATGTAATCTCTATTACACACTTATACACACATACATAAACATTTCAGACTGGCCTGGGGGCCATCTGAAGTCATCTCCTGAGCTCAGAAGTGTTTTTATCTGCCTTCTGGACATCACCTAGGTGTCCTACTAGCATAGCAAACATGTCCTAAAATGATTTCTCTTTTCCCCAAAACCTGCTCTATCAAAGACACCGGAATTCTCCGCCTTTAAAACCCAGTGAGAGGCCAAGCCTTCGTTGGAAATGTCTGCTTCCCCACCACCATCCTGGCCCTTCCCAGAGCAGAATCTGCCTTTGTCAGCAGCTTCGTACATAACAGACATTAGACCATGTAGGTTGACACGTATCACTCCCTTCTTGGAGCCCAAGATTATCAGCTATGAGTCTCGGTGCTTATCTAGGTTGGTTTTTGGTGGTGCGTCGTCGTTGTGTTTTTCTGTATTGCTCAGTGATTATAGCTTGTGGATACACTCAGGACTTTGTCCTCAGAACACTCACTCTACAAAAGCCTCAGTTTCTTTGTTTGAAAAACCTCCAGCTTCAGCTTTCCTTAGCAACTCGATATTGTTACAGTATTACTTCTGACGGATCAGGATGTGGAGGGTGGGGGTTGGGAGTTGAAGGTTAAGGCAGTGTTTGCACACTGAGCTTCGCCTAACTACTGCCCCAGAAAAAGTTATATTGACGCACTTGTGATCACCAGTGAGTGGGCGGGGCTGCCGTGGAGAAGTCTCTGGGCAGAAACTTTGAGTGTTTGAACTCTTAATTCAGCATAGCAACAAAACAACAACAGCCAGAGCTTGGGTCAAAAAGAACACGAGAGGTCCCACCTCTTCCTTCTAGTCAAATTGGGAAAGTCCTGGGCTGAGTGTGTTTGGAACAGAAATCAAGTCAGATGCTTCAGTTGGGTCAAAAGAGACAGAAGTTATTTGGGATTTTAAGGATCCTGAAACAACTTAGAAGTCCTGCCTAAAAAGGGCAACAAAGTGCCTCAAATGAAGAAGACAAGGGTGAAAACTCCCATTTAAAGAACCTGCATGAGTACCAGTCCAGTGTTAAGGCATGGTGTGTCTGCATACTTACTAACTCCCATGGCCACTCATGTGAATGAGCTCTCCTGCCTTCCTGGTGGCTAACCTTAGACCTCCTTGGTGGGTGTGGTCCAAAAGGCTTCCCTATGAAACTCCACTGAGTGCAAGTCAGTGTTCTCTGACCCCCTCTTTGATAGGCAGGTAGAAGAGAAACACCCAACCTGCATGTGTGGATAGACACTGAAATGTTAAGGCCTAGCTGGTGTTTCCCAGCAGTCTGCACTTTACCCATAGTTTTGGTTTTTCTCTTTTTGTGCATAGCTGCCAACAGCTCTTGGGTACCTCACCCTGTTTTTTCCCCAGAGTCACGTTCCCCAGAGTCAGAACCCTCCTGCTTAGGAATGGCCTTCAATTCCACAAACAATTATGGGGGGAGGAGGACATTGCATTCTTTGGGGGGGAAATCCAGCCTTTTTAATTCACCTAGGGATACCTGGGAATAATATAGTTCCCACTTAGGGAATAGAGAAGAAAGAATTATCCATTTAGAGATAGTGTGATATGGTATAAAAATGTTAGACCTGGATTCAAATCTCATCACTCTGGCGCCTACAAATTGAGTGAGATGTGAGCAAGTCACTAAATCTCTGCAGGGAAGGATGGGAGGGAATAAATCTACTCTGTGCCAGGCACTGTGCCACAGACTTTATAAATTTTGATCTGATTGAAACAACTCTCTGAGCTCCAGGTGCCTCATCTGGAAAATGAAAGTAGTGCTGAATTATTGCACTGCTTACCCACTGAATATTGAAAGGTCCCCAGTCCACTGGGGGAATCTTCAGTGACACATTTATGGGAAGACCCAGTACCAGTGTCCTTGATAGCTACACTTTGAAGGGAATACATAGGGTTGGGATCATAGGTCCATGGAAGGGGTAAATAATTCCTGTGGTATTCACCTCACATGGTTGTTGTAAGGATAAAATGTAGGGCTTTGTAAACCTTAAATATGTAAATGTCATAGCTAGGTGGCACAGTGCCTGGAAAATAGCAGGTACTTTATTGATTGGGGGGTGTGGGTATGGGTTGTGTATACACATCATCCCCCTGATAGAAGGTAAGTTTTATAAGGGTAGGAACTAATTTTTGTCTTTGTACCCCCAGAACTGGGCAGCTGGGTGGCACAGTGGAAAGATCACTGGGCCTGTGGTCAGGAAGACCTGAGTCAAAGGTAGCCTCAGATATTTATTAGCTATGTGACCCTGGGCAAGTCACTTAACCCTATTTGCCTCAGTTTCCTCATTTGTCAAATGAGCCGGAGAAGGAAATAGCAAAGTGCTGTAGTATCTGCCAAGAAAACCCCAGACAGGGTCACAAAGAGTTGAACACAACAGAATAAAAATGTCAGCCATTATTGTCACTCCCCACCCTTTATTCCCTTAGCCTGTAAGTAAATCAGTGGAAGGATTTTCCTACAGGTCAGAGAACCGGAGGACAGATCTCCTCATTAATTTTTACCTTCATTGGAAACCTTAGAAATAATTGGAGTAGTTGGCTATCTACATGAGGGTATTTTAAGTGCCTGGGCTCTTCTGCCCCCTAAGATTACCTCCTTCACCCACTAAATGGGGTTGTTAGTGCTTTCTTCCTCTTCTCCCCTCATGATATTTTGTATTTACTTAATTGTATAAATACTGTATCCCACACACAATAAAAATGTAAGCTGGAGGGCTCAGATTGTTTCCCCTTTTTTGTCTTTAGATCCTTGGTGCTTCCATAGTAACCTAGCACACAGTAGGTATTTAATAAATATTTGTTGAATGATGCCTGAAATCCCTTCCCATGAATACTTTCTTCCTTCCTTGCCCTCAGTGTCTCTGCTGTCTGGGTCTTCCTCTTCTCAGTCTCTTTTGTTGAGTCATCATCCTGTACCTGCCCACTAAGTGGGGACATGCCCTGAGAGTCCTTCTTGAGTACTTTCTCTGCAGTCTCTGTGATCTCATCAACTCCTGTGGGATCAATTGGTATTGAGCAGATAACTCCCAAATCTATATATACATATCTCACATTAATTTTTGTCCTTACTCCAGTCCCACATTACCAACTGCATGTTCATCGCCTCCACCTGGATGCGCCATAGGCGTCTCAAACTCAACATGTCCCAAATGGAACTCAACATTTCTCCCTAAAACCAAGTTTCTACTTTTATTTTCCAATTTCTGTCCAGGGCACTGCCATCCTTCCAGTCTCTGCAACTTCAAGAGTCATCTTTGACACTTGCCCCTCTCTCACCCCCGTATACAATCAGTTACCAAGTCATATTGATTCTTCCTC